GCCCCGCCCACTGATTCTACATCACTGCCTGTTTAGCCCCGCCCATTGATACACGCATATAGTGTTTACGAGAGAGGCGGACACACAGGTTTACGCAGAAACCAAGCGATAAAGATGCTCTGAAGACAACAAGACGCTGTGCAGTGCCAAGTTGTGGAAAAACAGTCTTTGCATTGCTTTCCTTCTGAATCCAATGTTAGGAAAGAGTGGATGGCCTTTATTTTTAATGAAGATCCAGACTGCTTCAGTTAGAACTTGGTCCTTTGTTCACTTCATTTTACCAAACCGATTGAAACTAAAAGGCGATGCTGTGCAACTATATTGGATCCGACAGTAATGTAGCAATACAAGTGTGAGTAACTGTTTTTATTACGTGATCACAACTAAAATAGCCTATTACTTCTAAATTATGATGTTTTTTGATGTAAAAATCTTGATAACATTATAAGTGGACCACAGAGAGCAAATAAAACAAAGGCAGTTCATGTAACCCTTTAAATGATCTGTGGGGTATTTTGAGCTGAAACTTCACAGACATATTCTAGGGACACCTGAGGCTTCTTGTAAAAGGGGCAATAATAGGTCCCTTAAAAAACATTCTGAGAATAGTGCAACCTAAACATCAGGAACAAACTAAAACCTTCCAAACTCTGGTATTCATAATCATAAAAATTGCACATGATTAAAAAGCAAGTTCAGGCAAAACAGTTCTGCTAGCCATCAGTAAAGGGTTAGTTCAGCAAAAATCCAAATCCTGTCATCATTTATTCACCTTCAGGTCATTCTTCTAAACATGTCACTTTCTTTTTTTTTCCATGGAACTAAAAAGAAGTTATGCAATATGTTCATGCTGCTCTATTACAAAAAAAAGTGATGCAATGCAATGCAAAAAATAAAAGCATCATATGTGACTTTTTTTTTTTACCTAAATGTACAGTGTGTTCCTCACACAAAGCTGTCACATGACTTGAAATATATGCATGGGAATATATACTGTACATGTGCATGAGTGACATCGACTACTTTTATGATACTTTTAAGCTGCTGTTTGTCATTTTTAGAGCTTATTCATCATTCACTTACATTGCATGCGAGAATAATCATTCTTGTAAAGTTTTCTTTTTGTGTTCCACATAAAATAGAAAGTTATAGAGGTTTGAAACAACACACTCAAATAATTATTTAGGCCTGAATTTAAGATTTATGTATTTGAATTGCATATAAAAATCCATTTGAATTAAACAGATTTAACAAACTAAAAACTTAATGTGATACATATTTCTCAGTCATACTTCAATGAAACCGGTCAGATTTCTGACCTTGTACTAATTAAGTGAATGTGTTTAGTATACAATAACCACCTTTATATATTTATTATCAATAAATCCATTTTTTTTTCATTCTCATATTTTAATTGAACATAATTTTTTCCCCACAACTAGCCATTTTTGAACCATGTTCATAATTTTAAACTGAGAAATATGCATTAGCCTACATTAAAATAAATTTCCTTACGGCAAAAAAAAACTGGCCAAACTATATTTAAAATATATGTCAACTATATATTGTAAAGAGTGAAGCTCAATAAATTATATTTTTGAAATTGAAAATATATTTAGATTCAACCTTCATATACTGCAAAACATATTTCAAGGGCACATTTTTACATTTCCAATTTTTCTTAAAATGTGACATATGTGAATGTATTTTCATTGGACTGAAATATATGGAGGGCAAAATATACTTTTATAAAAATATATTTACAAAGTATATTTAGATATTTTCTGTACACACACACACACACACACACACACACACACACACACACACTCACACACACACACACACACACACA